CAGGGACCTGTGGCAACATGCCAGGGACCCTATACTCAATTCCTTAATGGAAAATATTGACTCCCTTCTGCTAAACACAACTGTCAACATATTATAATTGTTGTGACCTCACCAGCACCTTATACAGAGGGACTTTGATGACCTTTTTGCAGTGTTAGACATTGAGAAACTTTGTTGATTTCCCTACTCATATTTGGCTCCTCCCTTGACCCAGTATGTAGTGATCTGGCAGACAGAAAGGTCATGTCACTTGTCAACCCCTAGGCTATGTTGGATCGTCTGACCACAAGCTGTTTTTATGACACTTAAGATTCCCAACAGAACGAGGGGTGTGGAGTCCACAGCACACTGGGCTATGGGGAAAAGAGGTGGTATGGCCAGCCCTTTGCTGGCGAGCTCGCCCCACCACCGACTGGAATGCTCATTCTCCAGGGGATGTTGACAACCAAGTGAAAGCCTTCACTGGACACATCCTTAATCTACAACAAGAACACATTCCTCACCGGAATATGCCCCCTTTGCGAAAGGCCTACAGATCAGCCTTGGTTTGGGCTTTGTTGTAGAGAGGTTGCTTACTGCTTGTACAAAGCATGGCGAAGGTATAAGAGACATTCATACCTCCTATAACAGGAATTGGCACATGCCAAAGCCTGTAGGCATTTTGGGGATGTTCAAAAGTGGCCATTTGCTAAAAGGAGGTGGACACTAAAAAGAGTTTGCATCAGGGTAGGGTAGGCTCCAAAAACTGGTGGTCCCTGGTCAAGGACAGACAACGCGTTATCAGCTGATGAACTTATTTTCCACCTCGAAAATCGACAGGATGGGACCACCTTCTATAGTAGTCAAGAGAAGGAGGACTCTTTGCTGAACTCTTTGCTACCCAAAATGCAAAGTCCTGATCCTGCAAGGGGACCCTCCTTGGCTAGCTGCAAGATCTGTGTCAAAACTGTCAGTGTTGACAATAAGGCAGGAGGAGGTTGCATTTCCTACTTAAATCGCTTCTTGACCAAGAAAAGGGCTGGTGGGCCCTGACAAGTTGAGGCAAGATTGTTGAGGAAGTTGTGCTGTCAGCTAGCAGCACCTCTAATCGCACTTTCATTCATGCCTAGTTACTGTAAATGGCCTCTCTATGGAAAGAGGCGCAAAAATTTTTGTAGTCCCTGTCACAAAAAGAAGAGCAGAGCAGAAATCTGCAACTCAGACCAGTGTCACTCCTGGTCAATCACTGGTAAGATCCTTGAGACATTAATCTCAAGACAAATGACAGAGTTTTTTTATACCACTCACTACTTTGTGATCGTCAATATCGGCTTCAGGTAAGGTTACTCTGTGCTGATCTGATTGTTTAAACCCTCTCCACTATGTGGCACCAGCACTGGATGAATCAAAGTCAGCTGTGTGGTAGCATTGGACATTGCTGCACTTTCGACCGGGGTGTTGGCAAAAACTCCAAAGCACTGGGGATTGCAGGCTCTACACTATGTCTCCTCAGTGGACTAGCTTTCATGGTAGATCTTATGTGTAGTTCTCAATGGAACGGAACAGCAAAACATCCTATTGGGCAAGGTTTCCACAAGGAAGCTGTCTGCTGGGTCCATTGTTATGGAATGTCTACTTCAACGACCTTCTTCATCTCATCCTAGAATACATGCATATGCAGACGACTGTACACTGACATTCACTTATCAGAGGAAGAAATGCAGCTGCTCTAAGCTACATCAATACCAGCTGAGAGCGAGAGCTATATCAGCTTGGGGGAAAATAGATGGCAAGTAACATTGCACTGAGGGAAAATGCAAATGGATCGTCTCTAGGCACCATGATGGTAATTTGCTGGTGCAGAGTATTTAAGGATGATGGGAGGATGTGGCACCTGGAGAAGAAGTGATATCCTTGGGGTGAAATTTGACTCCAAATTAACCATGAAGAACCATGTTGTAAATCTTGCAAACAAGGCAGCCAGGAAGCTTACAGCACTTCACCGTATCTCGCATCTACTTGACAGTAGGGGTTGCAAGATTTTGTATGAGGCACAAGTACGCTCGCACCTTGAGTATGCTCCACTTTCTTGGTTTGCCTGCCCCCCTCTCATCTACGCCTGCTTGACAGAGTATAGAACAGAGCAAGACGTCTCATCTCTCGCCTGGACCCATCCTGGATAGATCTGTCATTTCAGCAGAGCCTTCAACATAGGAGGGATGTGGGTGGCCTTACTGTTATGTACAAGGCCAATACTGTCAAAGTACCACACTTGGATCCACTTCGAGGACAGCGTGAAACAAGCTTTTATGCCACAAGACGGGCAGAAAGCAGCAACTTCACTCTGGCTGTACCCTTCTCCAGAACATCACTCCATCTGAGATCCTATATACCCAGGATGACTCGAGTATGGAAAACATTCGTACAGCATAATGATGTCAACGAGATAAAGTCAGTTGATCAAATGAAAATGCTGGCCCACAGATGGCTCCAACTTCATCCTGTTCCCTATTTGTATGTCTCATAACAATAAAAATGCTGATGTAGGCAACAGAGAGAGAGAGAAAAGAGAGAGAGAGAGAGAGAGAGAGAGAGAGAGAGAGAGAGAGAGAGAGAGAGAGAGAGAGAGAAAGAGAAAGAGAAAGAGAGAAAGAGAAAGAGAGAAAGAGAAAGAGAGAAAGAAAGAGAAAGAAAGAGAAAGAAAGAGAAAGAAAGAGAAAGAAAGAGAAAGAAAAAGAAAGAGAAAGAAAGAGAAAGAAGAGAAAGAAAAAGAAAGAAAGAGAGAAAGAGAGAAAGAGAGAGAGAGAGAAAGAGAGAGAAAGAGAGAGAAAGAGAGAGAAAGAGAGAAAAGAGAGAAAGAGAGAGAGAAAGAGAGAGAGAGAGAGAGAGGAAAGAGAGAGAAAGAAAAAGAGAAAGAAAAAGAGAGAGAAAGAAAAAGAAAAAAGAAAGAAAAAGAGAAAGAAAAAGAGAGAGAAAGAAAGAAAAAGAGAGAGAAAGAAAGAAAAAGAGAAAAGAGAAAGAAAAAGAAAAGAAAGAGAGAGAGAGAAAGAAAGAAGAAAAGAAAGAAAAAAGAAAGAGAGAAAAGAAAGAAAGAAAGGAAGAAGAGGAAAGAAGAGAGAAAGAGAGAGAGAAAGAGAGAGAGAAGAGAGAGAGAGAGAGAGAGAGAAGAGAGAGGAGAGAGAGAGAGAAGAGAAGAGAGAGAGAAGAGAAAGAGAAAGAGAGAGAAGAGAGAAGAAAAGAGAAGAGAGAAGAGAAAAGAGAGAAGAGAGAGAAGAGAAGAGAGAGAGAGAGAGAGAGAGAGAGAAGAGAGAGAGAGAGAGAGAGAGAGAGAGAGAGAGAGAGAGAGAGAGAGAGCACACTTGCTGATGTAAAATGTGTATTTAAGATACTAAGAGTAAAAGCAATGCTAATGAATGTTGTATAAACAATCAAAGTAGGCTGAAAATGGAACATGGTGCATAAGAGAAAAGTAATTAGGTTCAAATTGGATAAATAAGGTATGTTCTAAAGTACAATATACATACAACAGATGACCTAAGAGATGTAAAGTACAAGAGAGCCTCAATATAACAGACATTTGAAACAATTCATTGTTTCACTGTGCATAATAAGAAAATAAACAAGTCATAAGCAAAAAGTTTCCATTTTGTGGTATCACATGAAGACATGAAGTATAACAAGATGAAATATGAATACACAGTATAATGAAGAATGTCTACATAATGTAAATACCAAAAAATATTTATTGTAGCACTAAACAACCGAAAAACTGTAGTAAATTGTTTAGAAAATAAAAAGTTTTTTAGAATGTACTGTATTATTATTATTAGCACTTATTATAAGGTATTATATATTTAAGTTATCATTATTTTTATTATTTACATGAAGTGCTAAATCCATGTTGGTCATTCTGCACAAAGGGTCGTGGAGGCTCGATCCTCCAGCAATCAAGTGCAAGACAATGAACTATGAACAAACACCACATATGTGAATTCATTTAATGCAGAAAAAAATGTGACAAGTTCCACAGTGATATAAAGAAGCTACATGTATTTCTTTGTATGCACTCTTCATGTTTCACTTACAAAACTACAGAATCTAGTGATGGAAGGGCTTAGAGCTGTCAAAGGTATCTACGAGGCATTTGATATTACAGTACAGGTAGTGAATATGTATACTATAGGTTTCATATGAGTAGAAATAACAGACAGCAGAAATGTTTTGAAGTGTCATGAAATTTTAAAATATAGAATATGAAACAAAAGGATTGTTTTTAAGAACTGGAAGTGGCTTTATAAGGAGATGGTTTAGGTGTTAAAACTAAATGTTTATTAATAATAGCCATCACAACATTAAAACACATGGCAAGCAGTTAAATATAAAGGAAAACAATGAGCTACTTATTGAAAATACTGCTTAAAGTTTACATCTCTTGACATAAATATTAATGACATGGAAGAAAAAAATTGGTGTATGTATTTTGAAGAATGGTACATTAATTATATTATTACTGCAAATATTGTTCATTATAATATTTTATCCATGGGGATAAGCTAAGCTCTATGGATCATTGTCTGGGGAATGGAAGGCAATTAAGTTTGGTTCAGAAATTATGTAATGAATTACTGTGTGGTATGTGGATAGTTAATTTTTTTTTTTTTTTAATTTTTAGCAATGACAAAGAGAACTTAAAAAAAAAATAAGGATGCAAAACAGACCTGCATAATGTGCCACATCACAGGGCAGGAAAAATATGTACTGTACACAGTTACATAGCAAAATTCAGCAAGACACAAACAGGAAATTTTGCAAAGTTACAAATATTTACAAACCGTATTATGCAAGTAGGAAAATAAAGAAATAAAATCTCTCAAAGTAAAAAACAGATTTTATTGATGGTGCAGATAGATTCAACACGGTTATACAACTGATGACAGTAGTGTGATGTCACACTGGCTAGTATGACACTGGGATTAAAACAAAAAAACATTCAGACAAGCACTTTACATGGAATAACTCACAGAAGTGTGGTTGGAGCGGTAAACCTGCGCCGCCCATGATACATCAGGAGTGAGGCGGTAGGGTGAAGCGGCAGAACTGTTACTGGACGACGAAGACGACGATAACAAAAGTGATGCACCAGGAGAACCTGAAGCAGTTGAGCCAAGACACCCACCACCTGCAGCATCATTATACATCAGCACAGCCAGCATGCACATTATAGCAACACCAACTTTCACCTTTTATGTTTTAAACTATGGTCTAATTTTAAATGTAGAATTTTAGATGGGATTTATATATAGTTACTGTGTCAAACCATGTAATAATTTATCAATTATTCATAATACAGCGAACCCTCCACCATAATGAACAACTTTGGATTTTACCAATTTTGTCCATTGTTTCCCTATGTTATTCACCCACAGATTTTGACCATTAAAATGACGTCTGTTAATCAAGATTCTACTATATTACATTTTATTTACTGAAACTTGTTGACACCCATGGAGTAATAAAAATACATTAAAAATTATGAAGCTGAAGTTAATAAACCGGTCTCGGTTTATATGTAACATTAATGTAATGTTTGAAAAAAAAATGCATCAAATTAGAACAGTTTTGATGGTCAAAGGCATTTAAGAATCAATAACTAATACATATGATACCAAGTTGCTGCATAATTCCAATGCATACTGTATATCTGGATGATCATTTATAATCCATAGCTGCAAAATTCAATTTAACCCAACACCTGTCAATTTTTGTATTCAATTAGCTGTAGAGTTGTCGAACGTTACAGTGACTTGAAATGTTTGAAATTCGTAGCTGTGACTGTTACCTTGTCAGCATTTTCACCATATTTTAGGAAGGATGCCACCTTAATGTTTTAAAATAATAATACACTTTCAATAATATAAGGTGCATTTAATACAGTCTCGTATACAAAGGCTGAAAAATTGCAATTTCTTTCTAAGCAAGACAACTTTGGTGGTAGTACCCTCAAAATTTACGAGTCAAATGAATTACCCCAAGTCAGGAAAGTTGTCAACAATGCATACCACTTTCCTAAATAAAAAGCAAAAGGTCTGTTTTTAATTGAAGCTGATGGTCAAGCAAGCAATCAAGCAGCAGCAGCATAAAAAACAAGAGCAATGACAGCAGCAGCAAGCATGAAGCAACAATACACGGCAAACAGCAGCAGCAACAATATGTGGCAGTAACAGCAAGCAGCAGCGATAATATGCAGCAGTAACAGCAAACAGCAGCAATATGAAGCAGTAACAGTAAACAGCAGCAACAATATGAAGCATTAACAGCATCTTAGGAGACACCCTCAACTTAAGGAATTGCTGCTTGTTGTTGCAGCAGGAACAACAAGTAGCAGCAACAACAATATGCAGCAGTAACGACAAGCAGCAGCAACAACAATATGCAGCAGTAACAGCAACAATATGTAGCAGTAACAATATGTAGCAGTAACAATATGTAGCAGTAACAATATGTAGAAGTAACAATATGAAGCAGTAACAGCAAGCAGCAACAATATGCAGCAGTAACAGCAAACAGTAACATATGCAGCAGCAACAGCAAACAGCAGCAATATGAAGCAGTAACAGCACCAACAATATGAAGCATTAACAGCATCTTAGCAGACATCCTCAACTTAAGGAAACTTGCACCAGTTGATATCTTATGTAAAAAAAATGTGGAGCAGAGGGGTCAGCTGAGCCAGCTGGCTAATTTATGACTAGAGGATACTACTGTTTCTTGGGTCCATCATGGAGTGCATGGCCCTAACAGTGTTGTTGTCCAGGACCCTGATGGAGAGGCCCATGGTTGGGTATTAGTTGTAGGTTCTTGGGTTCTAACCATTATGAAACAATCCACAAAAAAAGTACAAATGATGAAAGTCGTCATAGCTAGCACAGCCATTTTTAAAGTAAAGAGGAACAAAATGTTGGTAGAGACAGTGTAATCAATGGTTGAAAAGGCAATCGAAAGAAAAGGCAATCAAAAGACAAAGCCTGGCCTTGGGTTGAGCTGGTAGAGTAGAAAAACTCAAAGCCAGTCACAGAAAAATAATAAACAGGTATATACAGGCAGGGTGAGGGGGATGCTCATATAACAGCGCCTTTTTGATGTTCCACATTTTTGTTGCCTTCAATCTGAGCCATTGCTCATTATATTCCACTTGCCAGTGACAGTCACCAGAAGGTGGAACAATGGCTCAATTGAAAGCCAACGAAAATGTAAATACTGAAAATAGGAGCTGTATATGTGGGGCCCTCCTGTAACACCAGAAGTTGTTAAGTGTAACAAGAATGTCTACATTGAGAATCATTTGACCTCTAGACTATTTAAGGAAACAATCCCAAATTTAGAAATGTTTCCTTGAGGAATCTCAACCTTTGGCAATCCTTGATAAATCTAAGTCTGTATATCTAGTTATGAAACGTACCATATAGAATGCTACGTAGTACCAGTGTCCTACAAAAGCTACTTCAAAGATTCAAAAGAATTTATCTGCAAAATGGTGGGTAAAATGGATTTATAAGCTAACCAGCAAACCAAATTAAAGGACATTTATTCCCATTATTCTAAAATTTAATTCAAGCAATTGGTATCAACTAACTGACAATTACTTTTTTCATGAGTATAATGGATAATTATACTCCATAAACAGTTATTACATTTTAACTGCAGAAGGTTCTCAACTTATAAATACAAGATGCACAAATTCATAATTTACAAACACTCTCAGAGACACGTTCTTATAGAGTACACAAGAACAGATTATTGTATATGTTTTACAATCAATGAGAATGATATAAACAGGTGTGAAACAATCATATTTTACATTACTGCAAACTAAACTTGTTTTACAAGTTGGAGCACCTCCTGTACTTATTCCTCTTTAATTGAATAAATTATGAATTTAGTAACAATATAGGGCACAACTGCATGCACTTTAACATTTGCATTGTAATTACCATTCTACCAAGAATACCACTGCATTACATAATATAGCAAAGAGCAAAAAAAAAAATAATAAAATAATTTAAACACTTAAAATGCAGTCAAAAACTAATTACTGTTCTATTAAGATGCATGAAATATGCAAGGTCTACATATATCAGAAGCTCAAAAAATACAATTATTGAGAGGCAATTGTGAGATGAAAGAATCTTTCAACCACTTGCTAGATAACAGGACATTCTTCCCTGACCTGTATTACAGTAATCATGCTATTATCTATACTAATAAGAGAACAGTAACAGATTCACAAAACAAGGGTCATGGGTAAGACTTCAAAGAAATACAATTTTAAATATAACCTTTATAACCCTTGAACTCGTGTACAAAGCCTGCTATTCATCCATAAGCTCAACAAAACTTGCTTTCAGATCATACAACTTAGTGAATCTCATAATTTGTACTATCAACCCCCAGATAAAACACTATTTAGCAAATGAATCAGAAACCCTATTTGACATCAGATGAAGAGCATAAACAATTAACTAATTTCATTATTCAATCAAAATTAGATACTGGAGCAAGAAAAATAAAAAAGAAAAACTATAAAGAGATTTTCTTAGGAGATAAAGAAAAGCAGAAGCTAGCCTGTAGAGATTTTTATTATCATCTGATATTGACATCAAAGTTTTTGTAAACATTCTTCTCCTTTCAACAAACCGGACATATCCCACCGAAGCAGGGTGACCCAAAAAAGAAACACCAAAGTTTGTCTTTTAACCCTTAACCCTTTCAGGGTCCGTGCCGTAGATCTACAGCTTTACATTGAGGGTCCAAACCGTAGACGTATGCCATGAGCATAGCTCACTCTGATAAGCTGTGAGCGGTAAATCTGGGCCTAGATATGAGAGAATACATCTATGTGGTATGTGTGCACCACATAAAACAAATCCTGCAGTGCACAGTGCATAATGAAAGCAAGAAAACTGAGACCGTAATTTTCAATTAAAACAGCAACTTTGCATTGTTTTTTCGTATGTGTTTTACACTTGTATTTGCGATTTCTTGGTCTCATTTGATAGAATGTAAGATATATTACAGAAATAGAGATGATTTTGATTGGTTTTAGTACTGAAAATGGCTTGAAACTGAGCTCAAAGTAGCGGAAATGTTAAATTTTTGCCAATGTTCAGGAGTAAACGAATGACCTCACATGTCTGGTGGGTCTAATATGTGTTCACAAATGTGCTGATATTTTATACACAATTATTACAATATTGCATGACAGTAAATCTTCTATTTTTTTGGTTTGAATAAAAATTCATTATGTGAATAAAAAATCAAAATGGAATTCATTTGTAAAGCCTGAAAATGTAACTAATGAACAGAGGAAATGTTAGTTTAGTGCCAGGAATGCCTGCATTGTTTATTCTGGACTCTCTTTTGAAATTGGAATATTTTGAGCTTTGCACTAAATTGGCCAAATTACCAATTTCCAATCACTTTATTTTGTAGTTGAAACAGTTTAGTTGGCAATTTCTTGTGCTCAATCGATAGAATAGAAGTAATACTAGTGAAATAGCTAAGAATTTGGTCGACTGGAATAAGGTAACTGGTCTAAAATGGGAGTCAAAGTCGGCAAAATCGCCGATGCCCAAGTATCACTGACACATCAAAATTCACGAGAGCATAATTTCGTCAGTTTTCCATCAAATTTCGTACTTTTTGCTTTATTACCTTCAGAAAAAGATTCTCTACCATTTCATAAGAAAAAATAACAAAATTATTTTTTGAAAATTCTTGGACACTGGTGCACACTTTGAAATTTGGCCTCTGGACCCTGAAAGGGTTAAACTGTCCAAACGTAGATTTACGTTCACATGCGTAGAACTCCGACCTTTATTTTCTCCATTTGAAAGCATGTAAAAAAAACGTAGATCTACGTTCGGAGCGCTACGCACGTCAACGTAGATCTACGTTTGGACAGTTTAAGGGTTAAACTTTAGTAATATATACAGGAGAAGAGTTACTAGCCCCTTGCTCCAGGCATTTTAGTCGTCTCTTATGACACGCATGGCTTACAGAGGAAGAATTCTGTTCCACTTCCCCATAGAGATAAGAGGAAATAAACAAGGACAAGATATAGTAAGAAAAATAGAAGAAATCCCAGAGGGGTATATATATGTTTGTACATGCATGTGTAGT